GTGTGTGTGTGTGTGTGTGTGTGTGTGTGTGTGTGTGTGTGTGTGTGAACACTGATGAAGCAACACCCAGCCTCCCAGCTGTCCTCACAGATCTCATTCTGGTCTCCGGTGGACCTCAGACCAGGTCTCTGCTGGTCTCAGCTCTTCACGGTCCTGTAGTAATTAAATTCAGACATCAGATGAAGTTTTCAAGAGGAGAAAAGAGAAACTTCTACACTGACAGAAGTTGGACCTGGTCTCTGCTTGTCCCTTAGACCTGGTCCAAGCTGAATGTTGGAAATGAACCCAAACTTTGTTTGTGAGGTTTGGTTTTGGGGCCAAGTCCAAACCAAATTCTGCTTTGTTTGCTAAATTATTCGACATCGAATGAGAATTTAGAAGCTGAAGCCAAAATGGGATCAAAAGGCTGGACCCAATCCAAGCTTGAAGTTCTGTTCACCGGTTTCTGCAGGAACAAGAGAGGCTGGGTCCATTTGTTCTGAACATTCGGTTCAGGTCCGGCTGTAAATTCACCTGAAGCTCTTTGAATTCAGATTTTTGATTAAAGTTTGTTTTGGTTTGCAGGGAAATCCCGGAAGACCAGGTCCACCAGGACCAACAGGACCACAAGGACAAGGCGTTCAGGGACCAAAGGTAGGCTCTAACTTCTCCACATATTTAAAGATCAAGACTCATCAGAGAGTTTCATTCATGTTGGTGTTCCTCAGGGAGAACAGGGGTCCCAAGGCGTGGCAGGTCCCAGAGGGTTACCTGGAGAGGGCTTCCCTGGACCTAAGGTCAGTCCAAAGGTTCAGTTTTACTTGAAATGAGAATTATGGGACATTTTTAAATTTTCTGCTCTGCGACGTGACAGGGTGACCGAGGCTCATCGGGGGAGAGGGGCCTCAAAGGGATCAAAGGAGACATGGGAGACCCTGGAACTCCGGGGCAAGCAGTGAGTCCGTTTTGTTGGTTCTGCTTTAAAACGACTGCAAACAGGAAGTGGACCTTCATTAGTGGAGCCACAGTTGGTTAGTTCATTAAATCTAAAAGTTGGGTTGGACTAAGACCCTTTGTGTTCTGGTTTTAGGGACGAGCAGGCGTCAAAGGGGAAGCAGGTCTCACCGTGAGTCTTGTCTTTTCTTGTCATGGACGTGTTCCTTGTGTTTTTACTGACGGTCTCATTTTACAACGTTGTCTTTGTTTCAGAGAGACGACATCATCCGAATGATCAAAGAGATCTGTGGTAAAGTATCATCTGGCCTTCGTCATATTCCTTTCTCTCGTCTGGGTTGACAGCACTCGGGCCCAGGAGGCGGTTCCGTCCCGACCTCTCTGCAGATCGTCAGATCTGCTTTCACAACTGAAGCTCGTCAACGTGACAGCTCAGCCATGATCTCATGTTCTCATGTGATTCCAGGATGTGGGATCAGGTGCAAGGAGAGGCCCATGGAGCTGGTGTTCGTCATCGATAGCTCCGAGAGCGTCGGCCCGGAGAACTTCGAGATCATCAAGGACTTTGTGACCGCGCTGGTGGACCGGGTCACGGTGGGCCGTAACGCCACCAGGATCGGTCTGATATTGTACAGCCTGGAGGTGAAGCTGGTCTTCAACTTGGCCCGTTACATCTCCAAAGAGGACATCAAGCTGGCCATCAGGAACATCCCTTACATGGGCGAGGGGACGTACACCGGCACCGCCATCCGCAAAGCCACGCAGGAGGCCTTCTACAGCTCACGCATGGGGGTCAGCAAAGTGGTGATCGTCATTACCGACGGGCAGACGGACAAACGAGAGCCCGTCAAGCTGGATCTGGCAGTACGAGAGGCGCACGCTGCCAACATTGAGATGTTCGCCTTGGGGATCGTAAACACCTCAGACCCAACGCAGGCTGATTTCCTAAAGGAACTGAATTTGATCGCCTCTGACCCGGACAGCGAGCACATGTTCCTGATTGACGACTTCAACACTCTCCCAGGTATGGAACAGCTCAGACGATGTTTCAAATTAAAAGACATGTTTGGAACTTAAGGGACCGAACAACGCTCATGGACTACATACCAAACAGATGAACAACAAATTAAATAAAACAGACTCTGAAAAGGCAGCTCAGGTCCAACACATGATCAGTTTTACACCAGTTAACAACCTGTTGATGTTGTAGTTTGATATTAGAACAGGACTACAATCATGGCTGCCAGCCAGAAAGTTAATGTTTAAAGATAAATATCTTCCAAACACTCATCAGTAACTGGTCCGTCTTTACAAAGTGAGGCTTCAGCGTTAGCCAAGTCTTCATATTGTTTTTTTAATTCATCGTCGGCACGGTGGATCAGTGTGTAGAGCTGTCGCCCCTCATTTAGAAGGTTGCAGGACCAAATCCCTGCTGGGAGCCTTTCTGGGTGGAGTTTGCATGTTCTCTCCGTGCTGTGTGGGTTTTCTCCAGGTACTCTGGTTTCCTCCCACAGACCAAAAACATTCATGTTAGGCTGACTGGTAACTCTAAATTGTCTCTATGTGTCCCTGTGATGGACTGGAGATGTGTCCAGGTGTCCCTGTGATGGACTGGAGGCGTGTCCAGGTGTCCCCTGCCTCAGACGTAGAGCTCAAACATGGTGTTGTAGTAACTGAGGGTCATCCTCAACACAGATTCTGAGCTTTGACCACCTGAGATGTCACAACTGTGTGTCCCACAGGGCTCTGGTCTTGTAAGAGCTCTGATTGTCTCGTATAGAAGTGTCTGGTATTGGACGGATGAATGAAACCAACGACGGTGTGTCCCGCAGGGCTCTGATCTTGTAAGAGCTTTGATTGTCTCGTGTTGCAGTTTCTTGCATTGGATGGATGAATGAAACCAACGACGGTGTGTCCCACAGGGCTCTGATCTCGTAAGAGTTATAATTCTCGTGTCGCAGTGTCTAGTATTGGATGGATGAATTAAACCAAAGACAGTGCGTCCCACAGGGCTCTGGTCTTGTAAGAGCTGTTATTGTCTCGTAGGATTGTCTGGCATTGGATGGATGAATGAAACCAACGGCATAGTGTCCCACAGGGCTCTGGTCTCGTAAGAGCTTTGATTGTCTTGTGTCACAGTGTCTTGCATTGGACGGATGAATGAAATAAATGACAGTGTGTCCCGCAGGGCTCTGATCTTGTAAGAGCTTTGATTGTCTTCTGTAAAAGTGTCTAGTATTGGCCGGATGAATGAAACCAGTGTACCTAGGAAAACCACTGGAAGACGATCTCCGATGGTTCTGGAGTCTCCCCCGGCTGCAGTACTTTGGTCACCGAACACATATAGATGTTTTAATTTATTACAAGTCATGACCTATGTGGGGGGCAGGACATTCTGTTGGGGGCGGGGCACCCCTTGGATAATGGTAGAGAAACGCTGTACATTGAATGACATCACTCAGTAGCTGTTATATATAACTGACGTTTTTCAACGCAAAATGATCATAGTTTAACACTCCTACATGAAAGGCAGTGGGTAATGTGCATTCCTTCAAGGATCGCTAGTTTTTTATTTACCTAAATGTTTGAGTTAACCAAAAATACATTTCATCCAACAGTGTTTTAGTGTTTCCATGTAAAACCCTCCCTTGTCTCAGACCTTGTCCATCATAGACAACCTTCAGAAAACCCTAATTATTTTTTCTTTCTCCGTCTCTCAGCTCTAGAATCAAAGTTGGTCAGCCAGTTCTGTGAGGACGAGAACGGAGCCTTGATATTCAACAGGATAATTAATGGCTACAATGGAAACAATGGCTTCAGTGGCAACAGGATCGGCAGTGGGAGCTACGCCACCGGAGGTTACGGCTACAGGCCGGTGACTCAGCAGGATCTACTGAATGGACAACAGACCGGCGTTAACGTTGGTACCGGCGTTAACGTTGGTACCGGCACTCACAGCCGGGTAGAGACCACGTTGGACGGCAGTAAAGGATCCAGCACTGGAGATGTAAGATGCACAAGAATCCAACTGTACATGAACGTCACACTGTACTCCTCCTAACCTTCATGTATCCTCAGCAGGGAGGAGCTGGGCGACAAGCAAGCACCAAGACAACCGACTCAGGAAATGAGCGTGGGGACACATTTAACCGTGACACCTCAGACGACAGAAAACATCCCTCTCCTGCAGGAGAGGACTCCTCCAGGAGCAGTGGCTCCTCTTCATCGTCCTTGTCTTCGTCTACAAGTACAACATCAAGTTCAGGTGGATCTGTGCAGAACACACCTGTACCAAGACCGTCCCTTCCCAAAGGTACCCGTCATCTGTTTTCATATCTGCAGCGTTGACGTAAAGAGGTATAACTTCAAGGGTGGTTGGGTAATTTAATTGTTTTAGTAATGGACAAGAGGTCACTGAAGAAGAAGAAGCCAACCACAGCGCTGTGTATGCTAATGGGGAGAGAAGGTGTGCCGCCATATTGGAAGGTGCTACATGAGTGCCCTTAGTTCCTGCCAGCATGGGTACCTGAAGAAGGAAATCTAAACTCAACCTAAGGGCCAAATTATTTTCCAATAATTGTTCTAATGATAAAAATCTGAACCTTGAAGGTGGTGGCGTTACATTTATTTAGTTTCTCTTTGGATGATTCTGATTCTTTCTCCGGCCATTTCTGGGGGTTTGAGACGAATGAGCAGCCAAGGGGAAAAAAAATCCCAAATCCAAGAATTAAAACCTTTTGTTGCCTCAACAAGTGATGTCATGTCTAGTTTGGTTTATTTTCACACGTTTGGTGCGATTCTTTCGCAGCAGCATGGAAACAGACAGATCCCAAAGTCGAAGTCGTTAAACTAAGAGTTAGATGAATAACCACAGCTGGAGGTGAATAAAGTTCCTGAGCTCATATTTCACTTCACTGAGTAATACTTGAACGTCTCAGTGGTTCCTTTGACTGAAGGTCCAGAGGAAGGTGCAGCTGTCTCGGACATTAAATGTAAGTTTTCGTTGTATATCCTGGGGAGATGGGAATGAGAACGCTGCGGGGAACGTTCCTCTTCAGAACGTTGGTTCTGAGAAGTGAAGCTGTTTAGTGGACTTTTAATGGAGCAGCACTTCATTCTGCTTCAAGAAGTGGAGAACAGAACCTCTAACGCCGCTAAAAGCTTCGGTACAAATCAGAGCGGGAACTCCCGCCGTCATGTCGCACAGTGAGAACTGTGCCGAAGTGTCGGTCCGGTTGTGTTTAGTGAATCGTGGCAGAGAGGACGCAGCTCTGCTTCACGCTGTGCGCGGCGAAGCGACCAACAGCGAGGCCAATTATTTTTGAAGACGTGTGGCTGTTACCGTGGACACGGCTCCTCCTGGGCGCCAAATATCCGCCCGGAGGTTTGACTTGTGCCGGTTTTATTTGTGTTCTCACGCGCCCATTGTTACTGCAGAGACCGCCCCCTTGGACCCTCGCTGCGGCTTGGTTCTGGACCAGGGCACGTGTCGAGAATACAACATCCGCTGGTACTACGACAAGCAGGCCAACGCCTGCGCCCAGTTCTGGTACGGAGGCTGCGGCGGCAACAAGAACCGCTTCGACACGGAGGACGAGTGCCGGACGACGTGCGTGGTTTCCAGAGCCACAGGTACTCCCCGCCATCATTCATGGGTTTAAATCTGATATCTCCTCGAAGCAACAAGCTTGTCTTCTTGTTTCTTCAGGAGGCTGAGCGAAGCGTCGGCTGCAGATACTTCAAGGAGGAGCAGCTAAAACCGGACACCAACATGAAGACTCAACTCAGAACCCTCAGGACAATCGTTTACAGACGATCCTCATGTCCCCTCCTGCTAAACGAGTCTTCTCTGTAATCAGAGAAAGGAGAAATTTAAAACTTCTACGTCTTTAGGTAAAGCTGGAGATCTTTGATTGTTTCTACTCAGGAATACAGACAAGCTCGCTGCTTCGGCTGCTTCAACACCTTCAGCTGATAACGGTTGTCCCGCAGAGACCTCTGAGGAGACGAGACGGACGTTAGCTGTAAGAAATGACATCACTGGAGCAAAATGGCAGCCGAAGCCATGATCTCTACTGAAACGCAGCAGAGACAAAGTCTCGTTACTCAAATAAATAAAATAGTTTTTATATTCAGCGCTGTGCTCGAGTCTTCAGTCCTCCTCCTTTCTTTCCAGGAGCCAGACTAACATTTGCAGATTATATTTGTTTAATTATGGCGTAGCAGCCTCTAATTAAATTATTGATTTTCTGTCTATTTTACTAAATCCACCCTTGTTATTTTAACGCTGAAGATCCCAGGATCACCACTAGGGGGCGAGAGCGTCCGCGTTAACAACACTTAAAACAGAAGAAGAACATTTAGTTAGTTAAAGATGATATTAAAAACAATCATTTTAAAGTTGGTTCAATGTCCTCTCAGGTTTTAACCATTTAAAACTCAGTTTTTCTCATCAAAACATCAAATGTAGCAAAAAACTAACAAACAAACACCTGAAGTCTTGAAGACTGCCTGAATCTGGATCAACGGTTCTACGGATGCTCTGAAGGTCTTTTCAAGGTTTTCTCTGGACTTTTGAGTTTTAATCATTTACGGTCTCCGAGCACTTTCAGCTAAATGTTTTTCTGTTGTTGTTTACATCACTGAAGTTTAACAATAAAACTATTTTTAAAGGATCTTTGGCTCTTTGTGACGATCAGCCCGTCTCAAACACAACATGTCCCGTTTTCTTTACCCGAACCTGAAAAACACCAAACATTTCTTCTTCTTTCGGCTTTTCCCTCTTCCCTCCTCCATGGAGGACTCGCTGTGGAGACACCTGTCCTCTGCATCCTCTGTCCTCACTCCAACTTCCTCCATGTCCTCTCTAACTGCATCCATATATCTCCTCTTTGGCCTTTCTCTGTCTTTTTCCTGGCAGCTTCATTTCTAAGATCCTTCTACCAATATACCCACTGTCCTTCCTCTGGACATGTCCAAACCACTGTCCCTCCTTTGGACATGTCCAAACCACTGTTCTTCCTCTGGAAATGTCCAAACCAGCTCAGTGTGTCCTCTCTAACTTTATCTCAAAGTTGTTCAACCTGTGCTGTACCTCTGATGATCTCATTCCTAATCTTATCCAGCCTTGTCACTCTTAAGGAGAACCTCAACATCTTCATTTCTGACACTTCCAGTTCTGTCTCCTGTCTTTTTGTCTCTGTCTCTGTCTCCAGACCATACAACATAGCTGGTCTCACCACTGTCTTGTAAACTTTTCCTTTGACCTTTGCTGACACCCTTTTGTCACAAATCACTCCTGAAACTTTTCTCCATCACTCCATCCTGCCTGGACTCTCTTCTTCACCTCTTTACCACATTCCCCATTTTCCTGGACAGTGGACCTCAAGTACTTGAAGTCCTGCACCTTTGTGACCTCTGTTCCTTGTACCCCCACTGTTCCACCTCCTCCCTCTCATTCACACACATGGACTCTGTCTTACTACGACTGACTTTCATTCCTCTTCTTTCAAGTGCATACCTCCACCTCTCCAAGTTCTCTTCCACCTGTTCCCAGTTCTCACCACAGATCACAATGTCATCTGGAAATATTCATTCAACCTTTATTTATACAGGTAAATCCCATTGAGCCTCGAGGACTCATTTACAAGAGAGACCTGATTTAACAAAGAAAGATGACAACAATGGACAACAGCAACAACAATAAACAGTTATAAAAAGTCATACTACATTTTTTTTAAAACAAATAGGATGGCTAAAAGAAAAATGTAACAAAAAAACAACTAGATTCTAAGGCGAATGTAGAAAACTAAAAACAGGAACATGTCTGCATTGGACCCTGCCAGGAGTCCAACAGATTCTTAAAGCCACTTAGAGAGGTCAACGTCAAGAGCTTCAATTGTTTTTGTAAGATATTCCAGGAAACAGGAGCGGAGTAGGAGAAGGCCCTCATGCCTAGTTCAGTCCTCATTGAGGGAACACTGCAGGTAATAACATCATAATCCATGGGGATTCCTGCCTGACCTCATCTGTTAGTCGGTCCATCACCGGAGCAAACAAGAAGGGGCTCAGAGCCGTACCTTGATGCACTCCCAACTCCACCTTGAAGCTACCCGTTACTCCTACAGCACATCCCACCAGTGTCCTCCTGTCCTCAGACATGTCCTACTGTCCTCATACATGTCCTGCTGTCTTCATACATGTCCTGCTGTCCTCATACATGTCCTGTACCAGTATAACAGGTCCTGTTGTCCTCCTGTCAGATGCTTTTTCTAAATTCACAAAGACACAATGGAGTTCTTTCTGACCCTCTCTGTACTTCTCTATCAGCATTCTCAAAGCAAAGATGGCATCTGTAATGCTCTTTCTTGGTATGAAACCATCCTGCTGCTCACAGATAGTCACCTCTCGTCTAAGTCTTGCTTCCACAACTCTCTCCCAGATCTTCATCGTGTGGTTCATCAACTTAATTCCCCTGTAGTTGCTACAACTCTGTACATTATCCTTGTTCTTAAAAATGGCCACCAGCACATTTCTTCTCCATTCCTCAGGCATTTTCTCTCCCTCAAATATGCCATTGAATATTTGAGTCAAGAACCTCACTGCCATCTCTCCAAGACATTTCCAGACCTCCACTGGTCATCAGGTTCTACTGCCTTCCCCTTCGTCATTCTTTTCAGAGCTTTCTGGACTTCACCCTCACTAATTTTTCCCACTTCCTGGTCCACAGTTTCTATGACCTCTACTCTTCTTTCTCTTTCATTCTCTTCATTCATTAGCTCCTCAAAATACTCCTTCCATCTTCCCTTCACACTCTCCTCACTTGTTAGAACATTACCATTCCTATCTTTAACAAGCCTAACCTGCTGCACATCCTTTCCAGCCTGATCCCTCTGTCTCTCCAATTGGTACAAGTTCTTCTCGCCCTCTTTAGTGTCCAGCCTCCCATATAACTCATCATACACCTTCTGCTTTGTCTTAGCTACCTCCCTCTTTGCTCTACGTCCCATCTCCTTATATTCCTGTCTCATTTCTTCAGTCCTCTCTCTGTCATATTTCTTCTTGGCTAACCTCTTTCTTTGAACAGCTTCCTGCACTCCATTGTTCCACCACCAGGTTTCCTTATCATCCATTCTCTGTCCAGATGATGCACCAAGTACCTTCCTACCTGTCTCTAATTACTTTTGCTGTAGTAGTCCAGTCATCTGGAAGCTCTTTCTTACCACCCAGAGCCTTTAACAGCTCCTCTCTTAATTTCTCACAACATTCTTCCTTCTTCTTCTTCCACCATTTGGTCTTCTTCTCTGATTTGACTCTTTTTCTCTTCTTCACAACAACAGTCATTCTACACACAACCATCCGATGCTGTCTGGCCACGCCCTCCCCTGCCACAACCTTACAGTCTCCAATCTCCCTCAGGTTTCCTCTTCTACACAGAATGTAGTCGACCTGCGTACTCCTTCCTCCACTCTTATAGGTCACTCTAGGCTCCTCCCTCTTTTGGAAACAGGTGTTGACTACAGCCATTTCCATTCTCTTGGTGAAATCCTCCACCATCTGTCCCTCCTGGTTTCTTTCCTTGACACCAAACCTACCCATCACTTCCTCATCCTCTGTTTCCTTCACCAACATGTCCATTCAGGTCTGCTCCCATCACCACCCTCTTCTTCCTGGGAATACTCTCTATCACTTCATCCAGATCCTTCCAAAATAGATATTTCTCCACATCACATTCAACCTGTGGAGCATAACCACTGACGATGTTTAGCATCAGACCTTCTACCTTCAGACATATCACCCTATCTGACACTCTCTTCACTTCTACTACTTCTACTAACGTTGTTGTTGTTGTTGTTGTCATTGTTGTCGTTGTTGTTGTTACTGATATCAGCCTCAGATATATTTAGTACTTTTACTCTACAGTTACTGAGGACAACTCTTTTACTGTGAGACTTCCTGAAGTTTCCTCCTTTCAGACTAGCCAAGGGGGGCAGCAAACTTAAAGGGGGTGGCCCCCTCTGCCCCCCTCTTAGTGGCACCCCTGTTATTTTTTTTAAATGACAAATGCATAGAATTTTCAGTTATTAAGTAAAAATGTTTCATGTTTTATTTGTGCAGTTGAAGGATTATACAGTTGAATAGAAATCAAAGCTCGTTCTGGACGTGACAGATCTGACTCTTAGAGGACCTCGTGGTCCGGTCTATCTTTAGCCTCTGGAGAGACGGTCCCCCACCGCCTCAGACACGACCAGACCACACAACTACGGAAATATAGAAGCTTGTAAATGAGTTCACGAGGCCCGATGGGATTTACCTGTCTAAATAAAGGTTGAATGAAAAAAAAACCACAGAACCACAGAACCACCGAACCATAGAACCATATAACCATATAACCATAGAAGCATATAACCATAGAAGCATAGAACCATAGAACCACCGAACCATAGAACCATATAACCACAGAAGCATAGAACCA